CCCTCTTTTGCATCCTTGGTGGCAAATGTCCTCAACTGGGGTCAGCTTGGGAAGCCATCATGACAGTCTCTCCGAAGGATGAGGGAACAAGTGGACAAGCCGCAGATTTGGCACATCCTTTCAGGGCGTGTTAATTTATTCTTTGAGATAGCCAGGAGAATATACTACGTACGTACAGCATCTCTCCATTCGATACCACGAACAGTTGACCTTGAGAAAGACTACGAATGTTTGGAAACATATTCAATTAGAAGATGGTGTTAATACATGAATAGTGACCCAGAATAGGGCCATTATTATACTCGAGCACGTCTCAATCAGATAATTTGCGTCCGAAAGCAAGCACGGACAAACCTTTTGGGATGTCCAAGCTGTGCTTCCTCTGTCACGGCGTCAGTTCGGTACATGGTCCTTTCACTCCTCTGCGTAGCATTTTGGCTGATCCGCCAACCTCGAAGAAGGCCCATGCAGAGACCAGCAACAATGAACACAACTCCTGTGAAGATTTGTGCGCAGACATACGAGCCGCTCTTGGCCACAATCTGCAGGGCGACTGGCGCACTGGCAATCGACGGAATAGCCAGCACAACCCAGAAGATACTCAGTCCCGAGGGTAGATTCTCGATACCAATGATCTCAGCCATGACTGGCGCAGCGAGTACCCAAAAGACGCCACCCACGGTGCCTTCAACAAGAGCAAAGAAGATCAGTAATCCGTAAGTTTTGGCGTTGATCCAAATTGACAACGCAAAGACGCCGGTCAACAAGGTCATCAATGTGGCCAGATTGAAACGCCCAAAACTGTCGCCGAAGTATCCAATGAGTGGACGCCCGAGTGCCTGGCCTAGCATAAAGAGAGCCGGAATGACTGCCGCTTGAGAGTCGTCAAGCCCGATCTCGTTCGCATAGTTGGCAAGGGTGAAGACCAGAACGAAATAACCAAGCATACTTAAAGAGCCAAAGACCAGCAAAGCGATGTATTCCATTCGTTTGAGAAGAGTAAAGTCAAAGGCCAGTTGCCGTGAACCAATCGATTCGTACCGGGTTTTGATGAGTAAAATGGCCACTGTATTGACAACAAAGGTGATGATGCTAAGATTTCGAAGGGTCCAGGCCAGACCCAGGCTCCCAATCATCGCCGATGCGCTTAGGGAATATGTGAGGCCTCCAAGACCAGCTCCTGCGATCGCTGCCCCATTGGCCAGTGCACGTCGCTTGGTGAACCATTGGGAAACGATACCGTACGATGGAAGAAACATTAACCCCATTCCGATGCCGAAGAGGGCACCCTGGGACAGCAAAAGCTGCCAAAAGCCAGTCGATATGCTCGCGCATATGAGGCTCACTGATTGTAGGAGAGCACCGCAGACCATGGTAGGCCGTGTCCCGACGGCTCGAACAAACATAGTCACCAGTGGAGAGAGTAAAAGAGTGCATCCGATGCTCAAGGATCCGACCAACGCATACTCGAAGGGGCCGACTCCTGGAAACGTGTCGTTTTTTAGATGATAAGCCAGGAATACCGAGTATGCGGCGTTGACGCCCCACGAATGGGCATTGACGACTGCAACGCAGAGGGTCACGATCCAGCCGTAGCCTCCATCCGGCGTTGCAGTACGGGGCTGTTCTTGTACCACAACCGTTTGATTTTCTGAATACGCCCCCAAGGCAGAGCCTGATTGTGATTCGAGTTGGGACATCACCGCACCAGAGAGTCAAAGGAGAAGAGCATAGCTAGATTTGAAAGACTGAAAGACGTCCTCGATACGTGATGTCCTATATAAAAACCAACTTTGCAGAAACACCCAGATCTATTCCCCGAAACATGACTAGCTTCCCTTGTTTCCACAACAGGGACGGCATATTATTATTATTATTTTTACAAAAGGGAAAAAAGAAACGGCTTGACGGGTCATAGATTCCCTGCGGCACCCAGAGAATGTCTCGATGTACCCTGGTAGCTCCTGTGTCACCACTCGTACCGACACCGGTCCTGTTTCCGGACTTTATCCATGCTCTAGCTCTTGAGGCATTTCGTGCTCGAGCACCCCCCCTCCAGAGAGTCTTCTACTGTCAATTGAGTAACGTCACAGAGACAAATCTCTTGCATTACGTGTCAATCAGCAACTGATTTTGCAGGAGGACTGCTTGCTAAAGGAACGGGTTGTACGCTGAAGTCACCTGCAACAATTGTGAGAGCAATACACGACCCCATACCACATTAGACCGTCGATAGGCGTGACTAGCTCTAGAGACCTGTTCATGGTAGAACGTAAAAGTTTCAGGTGTATCCTGCTGTTGTGAAAGTATTGTTGCTCCTTCCAATCCCTCATGACTCGCACGGGTCAGTATTACTCTCATTTTGCCATGACCGCAGTTTGTTTTCTTCTCTACAACCGGTACCGAACATCAACAATGATGTGGTTGAGACGGCTTCGACAGCGCAGGCGGCAAATACATGCCCGACTACCGCACATGCAGATTTCTCCACGCTCGAGGCCAACACAGATTTTATTCGGGATAGGCCCGTGTGTAGACCATTCGGATTGCCTCGAAGCAAAAATCTTGCGAGACAACCTGCAACCTATGCTCATCAGAACATGCTCCGCGGTCTTCAGGTCGGGGTAGTCGCTACGTAGCAGCCAAACTTTGGCCTGGGGCTGTCCCCAGCCTGCAGAAACAAGACGACCGGATCGTCATGTCCGCTCCGGCCTCGGCGATGTTGAGGTTCGACAAAATGATGTTGGCCTCTGCAGTGCGTCCGAGTCGCTGCAGGCATTCGTAATATCCTTTCAGCGCCCAGATATTATTAGGGTGTTGATGCGCTCGAACCAACTTCTCGTCCAGTCCCAAGTCCTCGGCATAGATCTGTGCGGCTTCTGCAACATGACCTTGTTCCAGAAGTAAGGCTGCGTACGGATGGCGAGTTGGCAGCATCCAGCCCCACGGCTCGGAATATATCAAAGCGTCATCCTTCGCTACGGCGAGTTGTAGGCTCTCGAACGCCATCTTATAGTTCCCACGCCGGTACTCGATTTCCCCGTCCAGCATGGCTGTCGCAATCTCAAGTTCGTCGACGACCTTGTTCGGGAAATCCATTCGGGTAACCGGGACACGCTTGGCCGCATCGCGAAAAAGCTCTCGTTCTCGATCGGCATTTTGGACATTTCTGGTTGCAGCCCAGGCGATCCCTTTGCCATAATGCACCATGGCCGTGGTAACACAATAGAGCTGCTTGTTTTCTGGCAATGGAAGTCTCTTCAACCTGTCCCACATTCCAAACCTGATGAGGACATGCACGCGGACCGACTTGAAGAATTCCACCCAGTCGGCCATCGGAGGGGAGTTGATAAGGAGGATATCATCGCTGAGAGTAGACTCCATGCGATCCGTCGCCTCCAAGGCCACGCGTGAGTTTCCGGCCATCATGGCTCCGTAGATCAACGAATGGTAATTGTGCATGCGATAAAAGGTGTAAAAGTTTTTACCGCCCTCACGGGCATAGTATCTATCATCCGCCATGGTTGCTTGGATGTTTGTATGCATGGCCCGGCGATAATCTCCGACGAGAACGTCGATATGACTCGACATATGGGTAATATGTCCGCCGTCCGGGACAAGTTTTCTGAGGTTATCTGCCGTCCTCAGGGCTAACTGCGGGGTTTTCGACATCTCGACACAGTGGATGTACATGTGCAGAATCCCCGGATGGCGGTCTGCTCTCGGGTGCTGTAGACCGGATTCAAGAATTGTCTTGACTTCCAGGACCGGTGTGGCGAGATTTGGCTCACCGGTCCCGGCCTCGTATAGCTTCCACGGTGCCATGTTCATTAACGCATCGGCTGCCAGGGTGATAATGTCCAGGTTTCCGGCTCCAAGCTTGAGGTTAGCCTCCCTCATTGCTTCGGCGTATGCTCGGACGGATGGGGTGAAGTCGCCGGGTGGCTCTCTGGCTGGAAAGCGATGTTGCAGAGCTTCGATGATAGCCTGCTCCGCGACCGAGGCTTTGTCAGATAATTCCTTCGCTTTACGGGACCAGTCGTAGCATTTCGCGACAGACTCTTTCAAATCCTGGGGATCAAAAGCCTGCCAGACCTTATTGTAGTTGGGACCCGTGGCGAAGGCGGCTCCCCAGTAGCCCATTGCGCAGTCCGGATCGTGTAAGATGACCTGTCGGAAACAAGCAGCCGACTCTCGGTGGTTAAACGAATAGACCCATAAAAGGCCTCGATCGAACCATATCTGGGCGTCGTGAACCTGGGTGCAGACAGGCCATGTATACTCACCGAGATCGTAGTAAGGTTCACTGGCGGAGACTTTGCCTGCGTTTTCCAAAGTGAGTGCTGTCGCCATCTCGAGAATCGTCTTTCGAGAGAGTTCGAGGAGTAAATCGAAGAAGGGACATGTGTAGAATTTACATCTGGCTCTATACTAGGTCTCGATCAAAATTCTAGTCGGGGACTAGTTCTGTTTTGCGCAAGCGAAGTCTAGTTCGCGGCACCCACCAGAGGGTTGACAGAATTCCATCTCCACTATTGGGCTCGTGGGGTATTCTGCCCATAATACCTGCATCGCTGGGGAGACGGAATTCGGTCACCGGCATGCGACGGTGGCTTTACCTAATTGAGACACTTATCTGTGGGTGGTCGGTGCGGGGCGAGGGAACTATGGTTCGTCTAGAATTTGTTGCCTCAACTGGTCCCCGAGGTTCAGTCGGGGAATAGATGTGTTTGCCAAGGTTGAGAAGCCGCCACCTCGCACCTCAGATATTCTCACACTATATACTCTAGATCTAGAGACCTAGAGACCCAAGGAATAGGCAAGCGGCGAAACAGCTTGCCCCGCAAATGTTGAAAGGATCAAGACAGCACACGCCGAGGCAGCAGCAGTCGCCTGAGCATGGACAAACAGCAGTCCGGGGTCGGGCATACGACTGCTCACCAACGCACAGCATGTCTCAATTGCCGTTCGACCAGACAACGTTGTAGCCGGGAAACTCCATGGTGAGTTCACCCCGGAGGGAGGAGAGACTCATTCTTATATCCAGAATTAATCATGTGTGTAGCTCGCGCTGCTTGTCGAATGGTTTGTCGTGCAGCTATCCTCACTCTTCTCGTCGTGGTCGGAAGCTGGGAAGTACCAAGTGAATCATGCCTCTCCGTTTCTTCTTCGTGACCTAGTCAGACTCTGGGCTTCCTGTCCGTCTCTGCTGACGCAGCGGCAGCAAACCCGACACCGTCGAAAAGCTCTTATCACGCATAAACCATAGCAGCGTGCGAGACCAGGTCATCAATGCCCTTCTCGCATCTACCTCGGCCAGAGACTCACCTTCGCAAGCTGATGATGTCTCTATCCCCTCAAATGCCCCGTTCGCCTATACGACCGACAGCAACGGTGATCCTCGTCAAAGCCTTGAACCCGGAGATGGTCAGACCAATTCTGCGGCAGACGGGCCCGAAAATCAACAGGCTCTGGAAGCGCCTTTCCGCAACTGGGGAGCCAAGGTCAATAACCTGGGGAGCACCACCTCCCGACAGAATTCAGATCGATTGCATTTGCCAGTGGCTTTCCGCCTACCATATGGCAAAGATGCTATGGATTCAGTGGCTAAGCGCCTAACAAATTATTTCAGTACAGTGATCCCGCCTTCTGTGACCTATATAAAGTTCTGACCCCGATTTGGGTAGGCCCTCGAAAGACTCTGCAGAAGGACTGGCATTACTTAGCTGCCCAATCGGTGAACAGCACATTCAGACTGGAAAAGGGTGTCTGTGATCCTATCACTGCCCGGCTAATTGATGAGGATGATGTATCGCTGTATTTTAAGCTGTGAGTTGCAGTGTATCCTGGGCTGGGCAGTGCATTTGGTAAAAGCCTGTCATCTTCGCATTCCAAGCATTGCCCACTGGACACATTAGTGTTGCATGGACTGACCACAGGACTCAGGTTTTTAGAGCTGCGTAACCCTTTCGTCGGGTTACTGGATCCTCTCCTCCATACCCCCGACTATGTCTATTCTATGTCTTTCACACTGTTCTCCGTTGTTTGTGCCCTTGGCTGTGCGGTATCAACCCTTCCTCGGGATCGCGTTGTCTACCCCGCCCTGTTTACTTTGGCCGAAGGATGCCTGAAGTGGTCCATCGCGTCGTCTGTGAAGTCGATTGAAACGATCCAAGCCATAATTATCATGCAGTATTGGGCTCCTGTTCACCAGAAGCAATCGGATGATCCCTACTGGCTTCAAGTGAATCATGTGAGAAGAGCGACATTTTGCGCAGATCACGCACCGCCGAGCGGATGAGAAGAGCTGACGTGCTTTTTGAGTTGACCAGGCCGTACGACTCGCCAGGGAGATTGGAGTAGATAAAGCCACCGTCGTCACCGAACATCTCAGTGCTCTACCGCCTTCTACGGGTACGGACACAAAAGAGCGTATTTTTCGGAACTTTGAGAGAACGTGGCTATATACATTCATCGCCGATAAAAGCTTCGGTATCATAAATGGACGGCGACCCCTAAATGTTTCGAGGCACGAACTCCCTGTGTCAGCAACAACGTGGTGGCAACATCCGATGGCCACACCCCATGACCGGATGATCAGCGGCATCATAGAGATCAGGGTACTCCTGGTGCGTACTAAACGCTTCAAACTCCCCGACGGGCTTGAAGATTTGCTGATAGCAATATAGATGCATGCATTGGAAGATCGACAACGGTCGAAGAATGACGTGACATCCATATCAAATTGGCATTTACAGGCCCTCCAGACATTGGAACAAGCCCGCGATTCCCGATGTTCTCATGATGGTGATCCATCGTCCAAGTACCTTCCTATTCTCGCATTCTACATGGATCACAGCATCCTAATCCTCAATGCCCAAGCCGCCGCGGCATTAAGGGGCCTTGATGGAGGTACGGCTTCGCCCGAGCTTCGAAGCGTCTTGCAAACAAGTGTCACCGTTGCGAGCCACCTGATGGATATTGTGCTCTCTGAACAGATCATGTTCGATCTCAAGTTGGGCTCCCACAATAATCTGTTCATCATCATCTGTCATGCAGCCACGGAAATCATTTTTGTGAGTCTTCTCGGCGACATCACGAACCGTAGTCAGTCACTGCGGTGCGCTGGTCTAGAGCTGACACGTGTGCCTCCTAGGCCATTAAATGCGACGGCATTGCGTCGACCAGCGTTGCCGAACTGGCCGTCAAAATGAACGCAGTACTGGAACAGCTGGGAAGCGTAGCGGGAGGGCTTCCAGCTTCATCTGCCGCACACCTTTACCTAGACTTCTTCTGGTTTCTGATGTCTCGATTTGACGACGCTGTTAGCAACGATAACCATCAAAATCCACGAAGTGAAGCTGGCGACGACACCTTGTTCCCCGACTGGTACAGGGTATTCGACGAATCCTCGATGGATTTGACCGGTTTTCTTGATAACGACGTTCTTGGCTGGGATCAACCTCTGTTCAGCCACTGTGACTTTGCCAACGAAACGTGCTGAAAGGTTTCAATCAAGAGACACTTGTCACAGTCCGATGTGTGCGTTTCAGTAGTTGATTCTTTAAGCTTGTCTATGCAATGTTGAGGTTTCGAGAAATTTTTTTCTTTCCAACAGCGGCCGATGGCCAAACAGATTCAATCCATTGGAGACAGAGCAACACATCGTCCATATCGGTAAAATTCCCTCTGAAGCTGTCTTTGAAGAGCTCGCCGAGATTAACAGGCAGCTAGGAGTTTTTTTCTTCTTCTCCATGGTAAATATACGGCCGCACTTGAATGCCTCGTTGAGGATCGGAACAAGAAAAAACCGCCCACTGGAAAACACCATTTGTCTTTTCCTCGTATCTGCAGTCTGACCTACTTGATCAACTTCCCCCCTGGTGCGGAGAGGGCACGACACCCTGGCTAGGCTTTTTCTCAAAGAGAGAGGGAAAAGTCCACGTCGACTTGAAGGACACCTCTGCTGTCTAAAACCTTTCGTGCGGCGTTAAAACTCGACGGGCGGAGAGACATCGTGGGAAATATGATATGTAGTACCTAGCCTCCCGTTGCTAGAGTCCCGTCGGCTCGCCCGTACTCCACCATGGCTCCCTCGGTGCTCCCGTGTTTGGCCGGGCGCTCTCGCGATGCTCCGTCATGTGCCCGACTAGAGCAGCCTCGCTCTCAAGCCTGAATGAAAGTGGAGATAGACGAAGCACAGTTCGGGCAATATATAATTTTTATATATCACAAAGCCTCGTACGAACCATGTCCATGTACTTACGCGTACGTTCGCGACGATGCCGGCATTGGGCACTGGTGACGCTGGACACACTGAACACGCTATGTAAGCACACAGTGAAACAAGGGAACAGGGATCAGTGAATAAGTGAGTAGACAATTCCTGAAGCTGGGTTTCGACCCATTCACTCCTCCATCGTCAAAAGAACAAGGTACTTGGGGATTGATTCAATTGGTATTTCTTGTTTTGCACAAGTATGTACATACTATAAGTCTATAAGGTCATCACAGACAAGGTAGATGAAAAGGTAAGTATACAGGTATACAAGCCCACCAAGAACCCTGAGCATGAACTCTCCTTGATACTTTTCATTCCTCTGTTCACCCCCTTTTTTTTTATCTATTCGTGCCGACTAGGATGACGTTCCTCGAGTTCTTGATCTAAGAAATGAAGTAGAAACATTAGCGTTCGTAATTTCTTGGAAACAACACTTCGAGGGGAGATGGCTAAAGTACCTGTCATGGCCCGCCGAACCGCCATCTTGGAGGACGGATCCTGGAACGCCACGAGCGGCTCCATGGCCACGCGCAGATCGGTCTGGTCTTTGCCCAGCGGGGCGTCGTAGTCGATGGAGAAGACGGAGACGGTGGCGAAGCAGCCCTCGTCGACGATGGTGGTCTCACCCGGCAAGGCGCAGTTGCCGTTGATGCAGCGGTTGACGCCGGAGCCGAGGATGTCGCCGTAATGGAACGTGCCCGTCGTGGCGTTGAACACGGCCGAGTCGATGAAGCCACCCCCAGAGAAGCGGGTCTGAATGAACGGCGGGGCGACGCACGAGTCGTTGATGAGGGAAGTAATGAGTGGGGTGTTGACGCTGTTCATCGTTAATTTCATAGCCTCTCACACACACAATCTCATCAGCATGAAACTTACTTCAGCCCATAGCCTACCGGCATCAGCCTCTTACCCGCCTTCGTCCCGTTCACGAGTTGTTCAACCACATCGGCAGCCAACCGGCCCTGGATGGTGGCAGGGTCGGGGTGACCGGAGGCGGTGGTGGCGTTGATCCAGGTATATGCCCTCTGCTCGCTGTTACCCCCAGAAAAGGCGATGGCGGGGTACCCTCGACCGACGGCCGCGTACGTGCCACCCATCGTGCCGCTCAGGGTGTACAGAAAGCTTCCCACGTTGGTGCCGTAGTTGGGCCCGCCCACGTAGAGGTCGATGGTCTTGTTGTCGTAGAACAGCGGAAGCACATGGTCCAGGGCCACAAAGGTGCACGCCGCGGGGGTGCCATTGTAATACCAGATGTCCGGGTCTGATGGATCTCGGCCCAGGGCCGGAGCACCCGCTGGAATCAGGTTGAACTCGGACGCCGTCGTCAGGTTCGGCGACGACGAGTAGACCGACCGACCGCCCTGGCCGCTCTCGTTGTCGACGGGAGCGACGATCAAGACATCGTGTCCGGCAGCCTTGAGGAAGCGGTAGAACTCGCGAAGCTGGGCACTTCCGAACCCGTCGTCGTTGCCCATGAGGATCGAAATGGCCGCAGAGCCGCTAGACAGAGCGGCCATTACGGCCAAGGACGAGACAAGCGAGAGCTTCATCTTTCCGACGTTTTAGTGATGACCCGGACCGAGCTTCTGTGTGACTCGTGAACCAAACCTCGCAAACCCTGACTCTCGAAGCTCTCCGTTCCTCTCAAGAAAGAAAGCCCTAGAGAAAGAAGTAGAAGAGCTCCCCCGGCCACCACGGGGTGCCTTATGCCACTTTAATACCCTAGCCCGTCCATCTCTCTCTTACTTCCCCATGTGTCATCGTCATCAAAGCTCCATGACACTGCAGACAAGTTCCGGCAGGCGCACACGCACCAACGGCCATGCACCGTTAAGTGATTGATTGCAACGTCTCATCGAGGCACACGACCACATGCCTTGACCGGGATAGTGTGAGGACACCAAACTGGGAGGCACAGAAGCTTTGCCAAGTCTGATTGGCTGACGATAAGGGCTTCGGCGAGCTCCATGGCGTCGAAGGAAGCACTACTCCAAGTAGTACCTACGGAGCTTGACCGATGCGGAGTCCATACTCGATGCGAGTTAGAACTTGATAATAAATAGCTTGTGGCGATCGTCTTCCTGAAAGTGCGGGCGGGACGTTCGTTCAATCGAGTTGATAGGGAGAAAGATCGAGATCGAGATCGGCGAGAGGTACGAAGGACAAGTGGTGGTGGGCGCGCTCACCCTAACTCGCCCGAGGCCGAGGGTGACGCCGCCCTGGGCTCACCCCGGGCTCGATGAAACATTACAATCAATCAGGTAACGGTGTATGGCCGTTTAGTGCGCGTGCGCGCGCTGGAACTTATCTACAGTGCCCTGGAGCTTTGCAAACCTCAACCCCAACAATGTAGAAACTTGAAAAGCGGCAACTAATCAGGAGAGCCTCGCCTGCTGGGTATTTGGCACCGCGGGTCAATGCGACTGCGACTCGAATCAACATTGATGCATCAAAGCACAAGCTTCCCTCGACAACTCAAGTTGTGAAATCTTACGATGAATCAGATATTCGTCATTTCAGCATTCGTTCGAGAGTGGGATACCTCAACGCTTCGAGTCTATTGCCCGTTTTGTCTGCGGACACGCTCTCATGGTCTTGGAAGCCTTGATTTCGAGCATGATTCTCCCTTGGAAGCTTCGTTAAAACGCCGACGCGCTCGCCATTGTGGGTATCTATTGGATGATTATCAGATCTGCTTTCCATCTGAGGATGCAGCTCAGAGCAAAGGCTATGGTTGGTTCATTGACAAGATTGAACGGAAATACGTCACTGTCGGCCTGCCCCCTGAAGTTGAACTCGAGAACTACTTCGTTGAGGACGAGAACGGTTCGACAGCGTCCGACTCCATCGGCTCACACTATATACATGTACAATAATATGCCATAATAGACGTTGCATATTCCTGCTTCTTATCCAAACTGTCTTCACTTCATCCAGTGCTGAGGCCCAGAATTATAAGGTGGAATCAAATCTAAAGTCAGTTTCTCGGCTGGCCAGTTCCAATGGCGGACTGAGCAGTACACCATTTTGAGGCGAGGAGCAGCCTCAGAATGCCACGTCATTCGAACCTCTTCCGCTGCAATGGTCAAGGCAACCATGGAAGAAGCTCGGTCATGGTTTCCCTCCTACTGTGCAAACCACGTCGGACAGAATTCTCAAAATGAATAGACGTAGGTATTCTACCTCGGAGGCATGCAAACAACATCATGGTCACACTTGAAGAGTTCCTTGACCGGAAAAATCCAGATATCGACAGCAGCAATATTTTATCAGGTCCTAACACCGTCAGCATCCACTACTCTAATCTTGGCGGAGTAGAAGAATGGGGAGAGTTTAATTATACCACACTCAGGAATCTTTATGGCGAGATACTGGATCGAACCCTCCTCAGCCCTCCGGACAATCAAATTCCAACTGAACTCGAAGCCGAGATTTGGGACGAGCGTCAATTTGAGTTACTCTTCTCGCAATATATGCTGACTCCGGTGCGGTATGCACTCCAGCAAGCTTACGATTATTGTGACAAGTCGTGGGAATGCAATCCTCCGGGAGAATTCTTCGCTCCGATCGACCCCGGGGCCGGGGGCCGTGCTAAACGCCCCAAAGACAGCGACGATCCACGCTTTAGACCGGACTGGTCTTGCGTGAGAATGGCCAGATGTGAGGACGAGGGGGGCGATGGACTTGTTTGAACTTACGACAATTCCAGTACATCAGCTCATATTCATCTTTCATCATTTCACACGGAATAAGACAGCTTACCACTTTCAGCGCGAACGGACCATCTCCATCTATGTTGACCTTGAAGATGTAACCTTCCATTCCATGGTCATCGATGAGTTCCTCCACGCGCACGTTCTGACATGTGGGATATCGCCTGAGTGTTGGACGGTAAAGGCTCTCGAAGGTCTGGGGTGCTAGAGGATGCACCTTCTCGTGCTTGGAGAGAAAGCGGAACTCTGATAGCTCAGACTTGAAGTCGCCAATATTCAAGACCCCGACGTCCACAGGGCGTTTTGTAAGAGACGGTGACCACACCATAGAGCATCGATCATAAGGTTTCAAGCGAACTAAGATCGGACTCACCTTTAGGTGCGCACTCGACGAGGAGTAATGATGGGACGACGGGGAGGAATCTCAGTAAGACTGGGGAAGGTTTAATCACGTGATTTTTAGAAGACTAACAGGCGATCGCGGGGGGGTTCCACATACTAGCGTGCCTCAAACTTCTCGGGGTCGGAGCAGATCGTTGGCTCTCAGTAACTTTTGAACCAGCCGACACATGCACCAAGTGACATGCATAACCCCCGGCTTTTGTCTTTCTTGCGTCCTTGTGCCATCTATAGAAAGCAGGCACCATCCTCCATGTCATCCATTACCAGTCGATATGGCCGCAGGTGTTGCAAAGCGAGACACAGGCGCCGCGCGAAGTGGCCACAACAGACCTGACCAGCAGCCGGTCGCGCCTGGTCGCTCAAACCGTGGGGAACAGCACCAGTCACTGAGAATCAAACCTGACTGAATGACTATAGGAAAACGGCACCTTTCTGCCAAAGAGGAAGAGAAAGATACCGCAGAGTACCGACGAAAGAGTCGACGAATAGAGGAGAGCTGTCAGTTTCTTCCTTTTATATTGCCATTTGACTGACCATGTCACAGCGAATCAACGCCCACGAAACGCCCCCAAAGAAGGCCCGAAGCCCCCTCGCAAAAGCCCCCGATTACAGGAGAGACGACCTTCGAACTCACAACGAACAGCAAGGGGAGGGAAACAAGAGACGAATTTACCTCATCCACAGAGCGAAGAAGTGAAGCCACACCAATACCGTAAAGAGGAGGGCGAAGGCCTATCCACGGTATCAACTCCACAGTTAGGAGTGCACAAGAGCAGTCAGTTACGTCAATGACCTCAATCGACAATATTGCTAATTTCTCCTGTACAGCTAAGCGGCGACGTTGCGAGAATAACGGAGACGAATCGAATCACCAGGCGAAACGTCCAAGACGCAGACCAGCACAATACGCCGAGGCAAGAAGCAAACCTCCAGACAAAGAGGAGTCCATTGAAAATTGGTTGGAAGGGTCTTCCTGGTCTCGCAGGGCTTCAACAGAGCATCAAACCCATCTGCCCGAGACTGTGATCAAGATGCCCCGCAAAGCCGCCGGCACCATCCTTCCATCCCCAGACAATAGCTGTGAAAGCACCACATCGTCGAGAAGGTCAGAGAAATCTACTGCCAGTGTGCATGACACCGAATATCGACAATCATTGCGCTATCGCAACATTTACATCGAACGAGAAAATCCTCCTCCAGAGTTGATGAGAAGGGCACAGCGAATAATATCACGCTCACGAGTCTCACCTGAGATCGATGATGCCACCATTGAAGAGCTGAAGAGGACATCTCGAAGACTTCAAGATGATGCCGAGGATAAGATCATTAAGCAGTTGGTCCCAGATATAATTCCAGCTATGAAAAGGATACCCGACCAGAGGTTGGAAATGAATGCCGATCAACTGTGGTGCAATGCTGTCCCCGTCCCACTCAACGCTAACGTACCTACCACGCCGCTTCCCTTGCCAAAACCAAAACCCGATTTGGCTTTCGGATATTCCCAAGCTGCCTTCACTGAAAAACAGCTTATGACCATTGATCTTCTCGTTGACGACCAGTTCGGCCGAAGTTACGCCACCCCGGACCAGAAGGTTCGATTTCCATTTCTCGAGATTGAGTTCAAATCTCAGGCCAAGAACGGAACCCACTATATTGCAACAAACCAGGCCGCTGGTGCCGGAGCTATCGCCTTGAACGGCAATATGGATCTGACACAGCGCAGCTTTGGTATGGACAAATTCGATTATGAAGAGCCACAATATTTCTCTGTCACTATGGACCACCAACTAGCATGTATTAATGTACATTGGCTGGGAGCTCCAGCTGAAGGAGGACAACATAGCTTCCACGTCGAAGGATTATCACAGCATCTTCTGCGGGATGAAAACGGCATACGAGCGGTTTCTCGAGCGATCAAGAACATCCTTGACTGGGGTGCAGATCCACGCCTACGAGCACTGTGTGCGGCACTAGATGCGTACCGGGAGACTGTGGTCCGTAACAGGGAAGCGGCAAATGCTCAGAGGAGGCAGGGCCATGACAATCCCCTCACGCCACAAATTGTACAGCAGACAAAAGGAACGGTCCTGCCACTTGATCCGGGAGTGGAAAGGGTTGCATCATGCCAGTATGACAGACTGCAAATTGAGCGGCAACCGCAGCGCGAACAAATAACGCCTAGGTACGGTCGGGTGGATATTCCCGCCAGTGCACCCCCCGAGATTTCACGGCACCCTACTATTGCACCGACGACTCACCCCTATGAGGATGCTGTGATATCCCGACAGCCTATCCCAGGTACACATCTCGGGCAATCTGCTGGTGAGACAGGGCACCTACTTGAATATGGCAAAAGTAGGAGGCAGATCAAACCCACGCAGAAGGTGCTGGATAACGCTTCCGCAAATGGAGGTCGGCTCCGAAGACGATGAGGTAATTATGAGAAGACGAGGCAACTGCGCCCTTCTCTTTGTTCTACCCGTGCCGGGTGGTCCTGATATGAGGCAGGGGACTGTCCCATATCTATCTGCAACGACAGCTGCGACAGCTTTTTGTTGCTCGAAGTTGAGGGAGGCATCTCTCTCTCTCATCTATGTCAAAGGAGGCCGCTGATAGTTTTGTCTGCCTCGCTATTGAAGGCACCGCGACGGACAACAGTTTCAGCAATCCAAACTTTCTGTGGTAGGAATGAACTCCACGGACATCGCTTGGCCCTCTGCGCGACGGTCTCGAACGATTTAACCTGTCATCAGCCTCGTGCTCTGTCGCTGTGATGAAATCGTCTAGGGCTTCATCCGTTTTGTCGATCGCCTCTGTTTGTAACTCGGAGTCACATCCTCCTCCTTTGTCCAAGTCAAGCCGAACAACATCTGCTGGCACAAAAGTTAACCTCGGCTCAGGTACACCATCCCCGAAGTGCTTTTGCCGTCAGGTATTGATCTGATTTGACGAATCGACCGGGGTGTCAGTTGGACCTTTTACCATAGCCATACGACATACGAGGTACTGACTGGTTCTGGTCAAACGAGTAAGCCGCTTTAACACAGAGCAGGGCAGATGTCACAGAACGAGTAAAGCAGCAAGGAGGCCTCCGAACCACTGGGTCAAGCAAGGTATACGGGATACACTGAATCCCAAAGTAAGGAGGCAATGCTTATCAACGTACTTGTATGCACTTGTATCCTGTGCTGCTTGGTAAAGAGTATTTGGTCTCTGATTACTCGGTACAATCTATTGTCTATCGCTTAACATGAGCTCAGCTCCAATCGACATTGAATATCCGCCGCCGCCACCGCTATGCACCATATCCCCCGATTTGTCTGCTTTGCCCACTTGTTGATCAATCGCTTGAGGGTACGACGCATACTGATACATCGTCGTAACCAGCAAAATGAGGCTCTTGAACTATGCTGTGTGTGTAGAGCTCCCTTGTCCAGAAGATTTGGAGAAGCTCGCCAGGGACCGCTCGAAGTAGATTCACCTCAACTTGGTCATGCTTTGAAAACAAATGCAAAATGGGCGCCAATATTCGAACACACATCATTCCGATGGAAAGAAACTCTCACCAAAAGGTGTCGAGCGAGATACACTGCTGGCTCTCCTCCGGGTATTCTCTCTCTCTCTCTCTCTCTCTCTCTCTCTCTCTATAAAAATGTCATTCTTTGTACAATATCCCTCGTTGGTGTTCAAAGATCAAGCCTCATCAATGGTCGGCTTGAAGTGAAACCGGTCTTCGGGCTTCGACTTGAAGGGGACACCCAATTCGAACATCTTGCACAAGACATCCGAAAAGTCCTTGAAAAACAAATCCTGGTCCTTGGCATACTTCTCCACCCACGTCTTGAAGATGGGGTCTTGAATCAAGGCAATGTCGGTAGGCAACATCATCAGGCTCTTCGTCGTGGCATCTTCGTATTGCTTGGGTCCCTTCCAGGATCGCCAGCCCCACTTCTCCTCCATGAGCAGGCGGAAGAAATCGTTTGTGAACATGGTCGGGGAGAAGGTCCAGGGTCCATCGAATCCTGAGCGGTTGGCGTGGCATCGGCCAACGGCGTGAGCACCGGACAAGGCCACCATCTCTTGATCATTGAAACCCATGCGGCCAAAGATGGCCCGGATGTGATCTGGGCCCTTGGAGGCGTCGGGCAGGCGGCCGTCCGGTGTGCAGAATGCGACGTCCTTGTCCTGTCGGCCGGGTCTCCAGGGGATGATGGGTCCAGACATCTCTTGAACGGCACAGACACCACCAAGGGTCCACAGGTCGGAGTATGAAATCCAGGGGAACTGGGCCTTGATGGGCTCGAGGAAGTCGCGGGCACTCTTCAAGCCGGCGTTGGCACCGTGCTCGGACTCGGGAGCAAACCGCATAGTTGCGCCGTTGCTTCCTCCAGTGCCTGTAGCAGCATCATAAGTCCCCGACGCATGCCACGCCAGACGCAAGAGCACGGGAGCATAGCTGCCATCGTCATAATCATCCATCTCCCAGAGCTGCTTCGCAATGGCGTTGTACACTTTCTGGTAATCTTCAGCAGTGGGTTTAAAGACCCCGGTGGATTGTCCTGCGCTGCCCTTTTTCAGAGCCTCGGGACTTTCGAGAAGAATCTTCCTTCCATCCCCTGCTGTACCCTGGGTGGTGAAGTAATAATAACCCCCTGCAAGAGCGGCGACTGCTGCTGCGCTGCCATAGGCGGCAGTGGTAGTGTTTGAGGATCTGGGAGCCGATTGGGAGGAATATTGGCGGCGGGATGATTGCTGGAAGAATTGTTTCGCAGCCGCACTGGATCGTGAGGAGCGGGCAGCGAGACGGAGGGACGAGGTGGCTGAAGCTGTGCCGCGTGCGACAGCTTTGGTAAAGGTGCGGGTAGCAGTTGCGGCGGCCATTATGAGAGGTTATATGCACAAAGACGTCTACTGGCTACTGGTACAGTAGAGAATGGGGTGTTTTGAAACGCAGATAACAGAACGAGAGGATGAAGAAGAGCGGGACGGGGGAAGCAAATTATAGAAAATGAGCAAGAACAAGTCCCGAACTTTCCAGAACAGGTCATGGACACCGAGACATGGGTTGGCAAACACGGCGAGGCTGAATAATGGACAATCGGCGACTGGACATCGGTCAGTCAGTCCACTGTCCACAGTCCACAGTCCACACTTGCTAAAGAGACAAGACAAAGACGGACCCAGGACCCACGGAAAAGGAGTGACCGAGAGTGGAAACGAAGGTGTGCGCGCACAGTCCCTACAGCAAGTAACAAGTACATGGGTGGCGGGGAGGAACGGGGAACAATGGGCAAGTCTGAAGTCTTTTTCAGTACCTTGTACTTGTTAGGAAAGGGAAAAAAGGCCCAAAGCAGAAATCATGAGATTTTTTTCTTTGCCCTTTATCAGAAGGCGCGCCGCATTGACGTTATCAGCACGCGGGCTACGGCGCTCGGCGCTAGCGATAGGTCAGGCGCGCTTTTAGCGAGTCATGATTGAACGCTGCTTAATCTTGTTAGTAAAAGGCATCCACTCACAAAGTCCAGTCCAATGGGAACTTGTGGCCCTGGCAGCACGCTCGGTCAGCCTCATCCGGGCTTGGCAGGGGAAGGAAATGGGAATGCTACTCGGTACTCGTGGCTAGCCCGCGGCAATGACCCAACAATAAGTGGCTCCATCAATTTTCTCGTAATCCAAGAGGCAGAAAAAAGCACGTCTTTCTCCGGCTGATTTCGTCACGGCCAAAGCCGGGTCATCATTAGGCATCAGGGTGGCACATGGAAATTTGCCTGGGTCTCGTGTCTCGCTGTTGTTTGCCTGATTAGGAATACCTCCCCACGCCCTCGGTGTCTGTTTCTCTTGTAGGTAATTTCGGGAAACATGCTATTCTTCGCCCCCGGGATGGGCGCAAACACACGAGATTTAGTGCTTGAAAGCTATGTATTTGTTTTCTATGAAGGAAGCTGTGTGTGCATGTCGCTCTGAGCTAATTGTGCCTGAGAGACAGGCTGTTTGTGGACGACCATGAGATACCCAGCACTGTTGTCACTCTTTGTCCCTCACACCCAGCACTGCTGTTGCTGCCTGTGGCCCTGTTGCTCAGTCCTGCTGTTGCTCTGTCTGTCACCCTGTCGCTCCGTGACCCTGTGGCCCTGTGGCCCCGTTGCTCGATAGCTCGTTTTCATCCAGCTCGCAGTATCTGTGAACCTGCGGCGAATGCAAAGTACTCGTACATCAATGACCCTTGCCTGTTCGACAAAGGCCGGCCGCTCTCTTTGTGCTAAACATGAAACCTTGCTCGCAAGGTCAAGATGAATCCAGGGAGCCGCTCCTCCAGGAAAACGCGGGCACTGTTCCTCATTCTTCAGCCACCTTGGGAAAGAGCCCATCGAACGCCTCTGCCGCCGACGTTACCTTGAAAAGAACCTTGCTCTTAGGGTCCTTACGTTTCTTCGAATCTGAAGCCCGAACATGTTCTCGCTCCACAAACGCATCTTTCTTTCCTTGTAGGCTATCGTCGACGCCTACAATCTCTCGCAAAATCTGGCTCTCGTTTGGTAGATCCATCAGTCCTTGACCCCAGCTGACAGATCCGCTACCATGGGAGTGGTCCCAATGTCTTTGTATGCTCTCCATGTCTGCCTTATTCTTACTGCTTCTGTTGCTGTTGGCGGTCTTAACTTGGTTGACACATATACCACATCGGAATTTCAGCTCGATGTCAGTGTTCACGGTTGCCAAATCGTCCAAGCATGCCATGAATGCCGACAGGGGCGGCTCTTCCACATGCTTCTGAGCGTAGAGGTCCAGAGCGTATTTTAAGGCAATCTTCATCTGAGAAGGCCCTGGAAGCCAAATTCCGTTCAACTGCTCAGCCGCGTACAACAGATTCGGACCGAAGTCGTCGGCCGCGTGCTTTTGCTGGAGAGCCTGTCGGCCATGAAAAGCGGACATCCGGAGAGCTACGGGTAGGGGCGCGAACTTAGTTTGAACGTTCGGCTGCCAATTGTCCAGTTTCGAGATATCTTGGTGGCAAGGGACAAGAGGCAGACTGATCGGCCATTTTGTCGTATACCAGGGGAATTTGTACTCGACCCCAGTGTCTTCTGAAGACAATCCCGGAAGACTCTTCACAGGGTGTGGGTTGGCAAATTGATAGTACTCAAGACCCTCGCCAACGTTCCTGGCATGGGTTTCAAGAATGTGTTCAAACGCACTCACGAAGGACCAGGTTCGGACGTGGTCATTTCGCGTACAGCCTCTGCATCTCAGACTTTGAAAGACGATCCTGCCCCGTTCTGAGTGTGGCGAGATGGCCTTTTCAAGAACTTCCTCGACAACCATCCGAGCATCGTCCAGACTGAGACGATATAGACCAGTGGTTCCGTCGTAGTTGAGTCCCACTGCGCGGCGATCATTCATGTGGTACGTGACGAACAACCTCTCCAGGCAC